TTTAATAAAATCGATTATCGTATGATGTTTTCTCAATTTGATTATTCCCTAAACGATAGTTTTTTTCTTCAATGTTACTATTATTACTAGACTTTTTTGACTCTAGTCTTCTTATGTCGTCAATGGCTGTGTTCCAAAATTCACTGCCAGCACTGAAAATTTATAATTTACATTAAATACGTGATCTATAGATTTTCAGCACTGGCAGTGAATTTTGAAACACTGCCAATGAGAAGTGTCAATAATACTGTTAATTGGCGCGGACAAGCATGTCTTGCGATTGTGATAGCCAATGGCCACGTTCAGCAGACAGTCCTAATTAGTGAGCGCTCAGTGATTGACTTTGTTACGATTGGTTTATTCACTTAGATCCAGCGAATCACTGTAAGCGCTCATTGATCTGCTGTTTGCTAAACATAGCTAATGTGAAACAACCTTTTCGAATGTGATCGAGCGAGAGCCGAGTTCTATATTAACAGTTGTCAGTTAGTAGTTACCTTTGGTCATCTCAACAATAGTGCTGAGTGCAAAACGATAACGGCTAATGTTTAAGTAGCAAGTTGCAATTCTTAATAAAATATCTAAAGAAAGTAAGTAAAAAATTGAGTATCTAATATTCTATCTAACCTATAAGTTGCAAATTACTATATATTTACTATATACTTTAAAATATATGAATAAGTATTTATATTATTTTTATTTAGAGTAACACAAAAATGCAATTTACAAAATGTATAATATATATATATTATATACATATGAATTTAATGTTTTAGGAAAAGATGAGTGAAAGAAATAGCAAAGCCAAAAAAAGTATTGTCTGGAAATATTATACGAAGAAAGATTACGTATTTGCTACATGTAATGTATGCACAAAAGCTATAAAACATGCAGGCAATACAACAAATTTGATGCAGCATTTACAAAGAAAGCATTTACTACATATAAGTGAAAATCAAAGAACAGTACAAAAGAATACTGAAAATGAAGACAATACAAATAACATTAACGAAAATATGACAAATGATCAGGAAATGATTAATAATACTGAAATAGAAGAAAATGAAGACATTGATGATCCTACATCTACACTTACAGTAAGAGAATTTTAATATTTTTTATATAAGTAATAAATATGTAAATAAAGAGTAAATTTATAATTAAAATTGGAAAGAAAGAAAAAATCTTTTACAAATAAAACATCAAATTATATATATTTTAACTTGATGTTTTGTTTTATAGAAAACAATAAGAAATATAACAAGTCTCATATGAATAATTAAAAAATTTTTTTGTAGGTACAAAATAAGTGCAATCAAATTGATACTGCCTTTCAACGCATCACTTCGTTCAGAGGTAAATATATTTTTACAAGAAAAGATGTGAAATATACTTACTAATAAAAAAATTAATAATCTTGTATATCTCTTTTCTCATTTAAAGAAGGAGGTACTATAGCTTGCGCTATAACAAACTCTACTGCATATATGATTGCAAAAGATCCCCTATCAATAGTAGAAAATGAAGGATTTCAACATTTAATGAAGATGGTTGCTCGCTTGTATACAATTCCAAGTAGAAAAAAAATTACAAAATTAATGGATCTAAAATAAGAAATTTTAAAAAATAAGTTTATTAATAACATAAAAAATATTTCGTCGTTTACAGTAACTTGTGATATTTGGACAGATATCTCGAATAAAAGTTATTTAGGGGTAACTATACATTATTTAAAAACTGAAACATTACTTGTTAAAGGTACTATTGGTGTAATACCGTTAGAAACTAATCATACTTCTGAGTATATTAAAAATGAATTACTTTCGGTTTTTCAAAATTTTGAAATTGATTTATCGAAAATTACGGCAATTGTTACCGATAGCGCTGCCAATATGATTTGTGCAATAAACAGTATGTTTCCTAATAAGAAGAAACACATT